AGCTCTGTTTGGGAAATAGATTTTCGCACTAATTTGCTGCCTTGGTCGACGTCACGGTGTAGGAGATTTAAATTGATGTATAGGTCTTCAAGATCTAGAACACTGGAAGAGTTCCAAGGAACCGTCTTGATGTCGCAAAAGCTTGAATCATAATAATGAATGAGATGTCCCCGAAGTTCCTTGATGTCAGCTGGCAAGAGGAGGAGGTTCCAACAGAACATACGCCATGCGATAGCGAGCAGAACAGTCAACAGACTGGCGTAAAATACCATCCACTTTATAGTGAACTTTGCAGGACTCAAATCATGGTTGTCACCTACGTCTGGAATGAATTCACCTGCAAGAATTTAAAAAAAGGTACTATACATCACATTATGACTGCTGGATGCGTAAGGTTAGGGTTTGTGTTTCGCATTATTAGTAACTTTGAGCAAGAGGTTAACTGGGTTGATCAAATAGATTGCCCACCCCCCCTCACACTTCCACTTAATAGCACTTTCCCAACTGACCTGCACATCACTCCCGAAAGGGAGAGCCGGCACATGTACTTGCCTTTAATTTACACGTTAAACATAAAATATGTACGCCCCTTTTATAGAGACTTTAGTAGTCATGAAAGTTGTATAAAAAATAAATACCTTGCTGCACTTTCTCGGCGAGTTCCACCAGACCAGAATGTTTGAGGCTGCTCACCAACACCTGTCGCTGATCCCTCTTGGTAGCATACTCCTCCAAGAATGTAGCATTTCCATAGTGCCAAATGAAGACCATGTCAGACGATTACGTAACTGGTATAACTGAACCTTGGTCCAAGTGTGGCCTAGATGAAGACCAAGTCGGTCTATTCCGTGCCCTATCTCCTCGGCGATTGCCCTTAATTCAATGTCCGTCACACCATTGGAAGCCATTGTTGCATTAGTCGGAGTCTAGTCCCAGTGGATCAAAGCGATGTCATGGGTGTGCTCTGATCTTACAACGCCTTGTGCATACGTACATATACCTCGCTGTAATGTCACTGTTAATGCAAATACCTGAATTCCGGGTCTGATCAGCTTTTACCATTTCCCATCTATCTATTAACATCTATCTCATCAGTCTATCACGATACTGGAATATTATAAATATCCGAACTTCGGAGAATGCTATAAAATAATCGGTAAGGAATCAATAATGCAAACACAAATTGCAGTCTATATTATTTGTCGTAGGTAGATAGTATTGTCCAACTATGCAACAAAGGATTTTGAGTAGACTTGCATTGTGAGCGCAGACAAAGGCCGGGGTGTGAGTCAGTGAACACATGGTCATGATAACACCATATATTGTATGAAAAGACTGTTTTCATTGAATAGTTGGTAGATCATTATATACATACATCTACATGTATGAAAGCCAGTGTGTGTTGCAGAAGGCGATGTTTGCTGTAGGCAGGATAGGGGTGCTGCAAGCATGCAATAAAGGGCCACTCTAACCCAACTGACATAGCCTTTTAAAACATAAATACACCTCTACTTTATTCCAGCCTCTGATTTTTGAAAAAATCTCTAAATTGACAAAACAATTTAAATAACCATTCATTTTCACAGATTTCACGCGTGCTGGGCTACGCCCCTCGAAATAAAGGGTAATGCGGTCACGCGGCTTGATGTCGCATTTGACGTCATTTCGGGAATGTCCAATTTTTAGGAATCCTACAATCTCATTGTAATTCATAATTAGGAATTACGAAATTGCCAGAAACGTGCTTGAATTATTAAGTGCATATTACATTTCGGATAATTTTTTTTCTTCAATTAATACAATAGTTTGCCTTTTTAAAGAAATTGTTACGCCTATTAAATGATCCTTTTCACTGGAGAGGCTCCTGCAGTGACGTCATATGCTATTGTGCATTATATACCTCACTTAAGAAATCTAGCCATCTGATTGGTCGAAATTGCATTCATAAACTTTAACTATTCCAAACCCATGTAATAGTTCTAAAAAAATAGTTCTAAAATCCCAGTAACCATGGTTACCGGAAAAATAGTTCAGTCTCGGTGAAATACCCATAGGTTGACATGTTAAAAAGTGGTCTGAGCGATCGAGGATACCGTACGTGTGCGATGAATTGGTCGGTCATTTCAATACAATTGAATCTGGATCGATCTTACCGACAATTTTATCTTGCATTGTTGACATGAAGACGAAAATAAACTTCCAAAAACTACATCTGCCGATAGATTTTGATCTAAGTTCGTGCCAATGCATTGAAAAAGTAAAAGAAGGGCCCGTTTAATGGAGCTGCCGCGAAGTATCCAGCACGCGAAGCCGTTTTCAATCCATTTTAATGTATAAATCAGAGAAAACTACTAATTATGGTATCAGTGCGCGATGGCCGAGCGGTCTAAGGCGGTTACTTCAGTCACATCATCGTTGATGCGCAAGAGATCGAATCCCATCTTCGACTAAAAAAAAAAATTAAAAAAAAAAAATATTTTTTAGTCTACTCTCAAAGATACACTCATAAAAAAAAAACTGTGCAGATAAACTAGATAAAGACCAAGGTGATGTCATAAGTTGACTCTTTTTTTTCGGCATATAAAAGTATTAATGACTGCATTAATATTCGAGAAATAGTTGTTTTTATACGCTCTCGGGAAGGTTACAATTGGGCTATTGCCCTCGGCACGCCTCGGGTAATAGCACAATTCTAACCTTCCCTTGAGCGTATAAAAACAACTATTTCTCTCAAAGCAGTCATTAATACTATAATACATCTCCGAAACTGGGCTTTTTCTGAGCGTTCTGAGTCGTCATTTTTAAAGCTAGATTCCAGAATTATTGATCATTTCTAAGAAAAATCGTTATCATGTTCGGAATCTTCGTCAATTTTTTTTCTACATGTCTTTTTTTCATGTTTTAGCCCGTTTTGGTTAGAGTGCTCCTTTAAAATTAAAGACCAGTATTGGAAACGCCCCAATTTCAAAAAATGAAATAGAAGCTATTACCAATCATGTGAAAGAATATGTTTTGACTAATACATGATGATAAACAAATTGCCGGGAAACCGCCTACTAATTGATATATTTGGTAAATTAGTTTATCTAATGGTCTGTGAGAGATAAACGCATGTGTCGCGCACTTGTGCGTATAGTCCCATATACGTCTTTCTGTGGTGTACAGTGCTTGTAACTTTAGGAAGACTGGGCTAAATTTCTTATCATTTTTATGATTCCAGAACCTTGCAGTACACACCAATACTTATGTGCTAGATGATCAACCTTTTCTGATCGATTCCACAACGTTTCTTTCACATAACCACATTTCACATTTGACCATAACTGGTCTTTACCTTTAAGTGAATTTGACATTGGGAAGGCAGTCCAACAAATTAAAGTGAGGACCTTTTTTCTTCCCCTGCTTCTAAGATATGGCAGTCATTTTCCAATTTTGGAATGACAAGGCATCCCTCAATACCCCCAATGGAAAAAAAAACACCCCCTTTCTCTCTCTCTCTCTCTCTTTATCTCTCTTTCTCTCTCTCTCTCTCTCTCTCTTTATCTCTCCCTCCTAACCATACACACACGCCCAAACACGTTCCATCTAATCGTTTTCCATCTTACAAGACAATAAAACATCCCGGATATCCACAATACTATTCAATTCTTATTAAATTACAAAAGTAGTCGGTGTTTATTAGGAATTCTATTTTATTTACAATAATATTATAATGTAATTGCACTTTCTATCCTATAATTTGGCAGGTTAATGAATCAAAGTAGCAATCTTTTCCATTTGGCAGAAGTTCGTCAAAAACAAAAAAGAGACTATCAAACTGTCTTTTACCTTACTTGTATCTTACCAGACACAATAGCTTAAGAACATTAATTTGCTCGTTATATTCTCGAAGCATACAACCGAAAGAGGGCGCATACATACTTTGTGTCGACACGCGGCATCTCTATCTCTATCGCTGGATTGGCTAAAGACAGTGGTGTACAGGTGAATAAATTAACCAATAATACGATATTTATAGGAGTGATCTCGAGATAACATTCCCTAAAGACTTAGTCCATAAAAGCAGTAAAACGCTTTTTTGATCAATACTGAAAAGTCGGCATCCTGGCCGATGAGGATCAAATCATATTCACACACATACATATAGAACGTCTCAATGAAAAGATAACAACACATTTGGAAGGATATAAGTTTGATACATTACATAATTTATACAAGGAAAGTTTCCTATTACCCATGCTTTCGCACATGCATGGCTAGAATTTCAGTCGCAGGGTATTACTGCACACCATCATGACCACTGTCTAAAAAATAAACAAAAAATGATTTACTTGTATCCTAAGTTTGACTTAGCTAAGTTCAGTATAGAAATAACTCTGTAGACTAAAATAGATGGCGCCATACAAATATTATTATTAGTGCCATTGATTAGGAGGGTTTTGTGAAACAGATTCGAGTTGGGCACAATGTGGCGGATACTGATTCGTTGGGAAAGCATGAAAAAAACCCAAAGAATATACGCATTTATGTTGTGACCAACGAAACCAAATATGCCGAACTCTTTGTATAATAGGCTCTGACTCCTATCCGAACCGTGCATCCAAGCGTTTGCTTTTCAAAAGCTCTGATATTAGGGTACATATTTGTTTTTTGTCGGTGTGGGTGTCTGTGATTGGCCAAGTCCGTGTATACCTATTTTTGAATAAGAATACCTATATCGTTTTATAATAAGTTTTGGGTAATTATAATAAAAATAATACTAATCTTATTTACCAGGGAAGCCTCATTAGCATTGATACTGGTTTTTTTCTTGCGGGCCCTGCATTTTTTACCCAAACACTGCCCAGTAATTTACACTTTGGTCGAGAGGTCATGGGAGGGAGAAACAGCATGTTTAATAATATAAGCATCGATCAAAGGATCGAGATCGAGCGCAGGACATCTCATATGAGAGTCACCAGTCTCTACCATTTCTCCACAAGTCATCTGTATTGACTTGCATGGCGCTGTATTCAGGAGCACGACCTGAAGATCAACTAGGTGTCTTTACCCGATGCCACAATGACACCCGGTATGCTATCACTGTCCATGTCTTTGCCCTCCATGGTCGCTTTGGAAGATGACGCCTTGTCGTTCTCCTCTTCCTCCTGGTCTTAAGGAGTAACTCCTTAATACAGGCCTTTTTAGATAATAGACACAGGATAGGGTTTATACAATGTACACAAAAGTCATGCAAGTTTGTCAATTTACACTCAGTACTACGGCGCCTTGGATCAATTCAAGTGGCAGTAATCACGCGTGCTTCCTGCAACGCTATGGAAAGCCGTTGATGACTTTATTCACATGCCCCAGAAGTATGGAAAATGGCACACGTGTGCTAATAAAATAGCAGACGTGTGCTATCGCACCTTGCACACGTCTGCTAAAAAACAGGCGGTGATTGGTCAATTAGCAGACGTCTGCCTGTTATTTAGCAGACGTGTGCCGCGTTCCATACGTCTGGGGCATGTGAATAAAGTCATGAACGGCCTTCCATAGAGTTGCAGGAAGCACGTGTGATTGCTGCCACTCGTTAGGCGCGGAATAGAGAAAGGCAGGGACAACAGACAAGCTGGTATCTGACGGTTTCGAAATGTATCGAGGGGAGTGTGCATGCGATAAACCACTTACTCCTCCCATCCTCATAAACATTTTTTTTTTAAAATGGACTTGAGAAGAAAAAAATTGGTAAACGAATACCAACAAAAAACATGTAAAGATTTTGAAATGTGCTGTTCAGCGAATGTGATTTCCACTAATTTGCCATTATTTGTTTGTATTGACAGGTCCAACAGGGGCAGTATTCAAAGAACCAAATAACTGCATCACAAGAAAATCAGTATTGCTTCATGTCAATGTCAATGCCCATGCTACCTACGTATGACCCTCTCAAACAAACAAATATTCCTTATTCCAAAAATTATTCCTAACAAACACATATATTTTGTTTACTCTTAATAATGTTTAGTTTAAATTGATTACAAACATCAAACTTCCTTCAATTTATTGCGTGTACCGTAGCAATTTTGCGAGTTAATTTCATCAAGATCTATACACTGTACTCAAAATGAAATTGGTGATATCGCCAGAGAATTTGATCTATTTAAAAGGGATCGTTATACTTTCTCCATCGAAACCCCAGAGATATGAAACACACTTCATATTACTGTACTTCGCTTGACTATGTATAACCTCTAGGGACATGACGTGATACAATTTTATATTTATGAGACAAATTTAAGGGTAATTCATGTTTTCCCTATAAAAATATTAGATATTGAGAAAGCAGGCTCTCTCATAAAGTGGAAGTCCACCTTTCTATAGATGGTTTTAAAGTATAAAATTAAGAGAAAAAAAATCAGTGAAAAGTTTGAGCTAAATTTGAGTAGAAATAAGAATTATGGATTTTAAGTTGCAATCCATCTACCAAAAAGTATTTTGAAGGGTCCCCTTCATTTCGCTATGTACACAAAATAAAACAATTTATATTTCTCTTAAGAATATTTGTAATCACAATGCATAACATTTCTGTAAATATATTTATACATACCCCTTTGTGAAACAATTATATTTCCTATATTAATAGCCAAGTCAAAAGATATACAGTGCGTCCAAAACAAAAAAAAAACGAAACCGAGAGTTATCGATGTTTTATCGTAACTTAATAACAATTATAATTGATAAATGACACATATTTGGAAAGCGTAGATCCATCTCTTCCATTTGATGCAACTCATATGATGCATATTTTACGCATGAGTGATTAAAATGATTTTGAAGAGAGGAAATCGAAAAATCATTTGGCGGACGGTATCTGAATTTCAAGGAGAAAATCACATTTCTAGAAAATCTAGTTTCTGCCCTTTCATATGAAACCTCAATCAGGAAAAACGAGCTAGGAATAACAAAGTTCTGTTTGTTTAAAGTAGTGCTTACATTTCCATAATTTTATCAAACGTATCCGTTTTCACTGGCTGCCTACTGTAGCAACACACAGATTTGACAAAAGACTTAACTCCGTTTCGTTGTCAAATCAGCCGTAGACGAAAGACTTCATGCATGGCTGATTGTCAACGAAACGGAGGTGACGAAATCTTTTCAAGATGTCAGTATAAAGCATTATGGCATGATCAGTTTTCTAAAATACTGCTTAAGGTACATTCAACTATAATCATGCTTTGCAAAGGAATGAGAGGGCGACAAACAGAGTCGCTCTCAGTCTGTATCAAGTCATCAAAAATTGAGGCTATGATGATATTTAGATCTCAACTAAAACACAGAAGTATACAATAATTTGGACATTCCTGTCCCATATATACACACACAGTAGGAGTCATGGCTATATAGAGTAGTAATCGAGGGTCCTTTAAAATGTACTTACAATTTTTGGAACATAATGAACTTCGGCAAGATTAAAAAAATCTCTGACACGACACGAACGTAATAATTATAACTTTCAGTTGAAAATAGGACCAGCAAGACTTTTAAACCATAATATTTACTTTTACAATAATATTCAAGAAAATTGAGGTTGCTACAGGTGTAGTACAGGCCTAATGAAAATAATAGCTAGCTTATCGTCCCCTCCTCTATTTGATAGTTTTATTCCGAAATTAATTCAATACAAATCTGAGGTGGCACATGGAAACGAGGGGGTCAACACAAATCATGAATACAATGGTCAATATGTCATCTTGTTTTTCGCCAGCGTGGTGCATGTACAAAATAATTCTGAATAAACAAAATTTGTTTTGAAATTTACCGGACGTCATTTCTGTAGAGATCTGTTAGATCAAACAATTTGCAATATCTTCCTTATCATTTACGAAAAAACCCAGACGAGAAACTATGTATTAATCTGACGTGTTGGCTTTATTGGATGGAGTGAGGATCTTTGTTCGCTCTACAATCCGTGTAATACGCAGCAAGCAATTCATAAGTCGTCTCAGATTCATAAGATAATTGCGGAAGCTTAGACGGAAATCTTGAGTGACTTTCGATTTCGTTTAATATATCGAATGTTGAGGTTATATTTATTTTCTATCTATCCGCTGTCGAGTGACTTTATTTATTCATGTATATTTATTGCTCTTTTGGTTTCGTTCAAAATTGTTTGTCACATAATTATTGCTTTAAATAACATTACGTTTATTTAACGCTTTTCTATCCTATCAATTGATCTAGTGGAGTGCTTCGGTCAGTTGCTCACCGATGGTCCTACTCCAAAATTGCGGAATTATAAAATTGTCATTGTTCCAGCCTTGATTCAATAAGGGCAGAATATACATCTTCTATAGTTCTTTCCTATTGAGACACGGGCTGGTAAAAATGGCATTTGATACCATGCGAGGACTTCTCTTGTTGGTCTTAACTTGTTATCTTCTCTCCTACTCCATCCCTATTTTAGCTGGAGATGCAACGGGGACTGCTTCGGGGGGCTCTTATCATGATTATAGGAGATGTTACGAGGAACCTCTGTCGAAGTCAGCTCATTGCCAGAATAGAGGACTTGATTTAGTCCCCCAAAATCTTAATGAAGATGTAGATTATCTCGACATGTCGTTCAATAATCTCACTTATCTCTCAAGCTCTTCTTTTGCAAGATACCCTCTAATTACTAACTTGAATCTTGCACATAACAACATAAGAGCCATTGAGCCCACCGCTTTTTATCCTCTCAGCTTTTTAAGTATTTTATCGTTAAATTTCAACGTCAATATTGTGCTTCCAGATACGGGCCTTTTCCGATTAGCACGAAATTTGACTTTGGTGCATTTATCAAACACATATTTGAAATGGCTTCCTAGCGACACCCTGAAATGGACAACACGATTAGAGGATATCGTCTGTAACAACAATAAACTCTCGATTATAAACATCAGCGCGTGTGGCACGATCAAAAATGCTGAATTCTCTCGAAATCAAATAAAAGATCTCACTGTAGAAGCTTTCAGCTTTGTGTGCCACACTACGACCCTGGTCCTAGAAAGAAACCCCATCAAATCGGTCGATCCTAAAGTGATTGCATCACTGCATGTGCGACAATTGCGGCTGGGAATCTACCCCTTGAACTTAGAGGTGGTTAGAAACGTATTCATAGGTGTTGCCCATTCTGAAATAGAAGAACTTTCGGTTAAGAATGCTCGCTTGAAGGCATTCCCAAAAGACTTTTTTGACCCGCTGATGGATTCATCTCTTTCTGTGCTCGACCTTTCCGACAACCACGTCTATATGCTCTATCCCCTCGTCTTTTCGAATCTGACCAAACTAGATCAACTTAACTTTTCCAATAGTCGTATAGATTCAATCGAACCAAACTTCTTTGACGGCATGGGAGAGATTAAAGTACTGAATTTCAACCACAACCACATACGTCATATAAACCCCCGGAATCAGACATGGAACATAGGTGTTCTGGAATTACACTTGTCTACGAATCGTTTGACAGTGATTTATCAATCTGCGTTTCTCGGTTTGGAAAATTTAACCTTTATAGATTTGAGATTTAACAACCTCCTTGTGTTTGAACTAACAGACTCTACAGACCTTCGTAGAATCCAAACCATTGATTTATCGTTATGTAGAATTTCCCGTTTGCAATTGGAATCATTAACACTAAAGTCACTGAACTTGGGACACACCAGGATCCCTCTAAAACCAAGCAAATCTTTCAAACATTTACCATTCCTGGAACATCTGGACTTGAGCAGCACGGGTCTTGGGAAGTTGAATGTATGGGATGCGACTGTGAATATCTCTCTTTTTGACGAACTCTTCAACCTAACGACTTTGGACCTGCGTAATAATCATCTTCTTGGCCGTGAAGGTGCCTTCACAGCTGGGGTCTTCCGGCAACTCTCTGCTTTACAAGAACTCAATTTACAGGATTGCGATGTGGCAACCGTCAATCCTAATGTCTTTAAGGGGTTGGGATCGCTACAGAAGTTAAATTTAGCAGGAAACAGGATCAAACGACTTCCTTATAGCGCCTTTAATGGACTGGAGCAAGTAACAATCATAAATCTTGATACTAACAATGTAGCATACCTCGAAGACAGAATATTTTTGAACAATCCTAAGTTGACAAGTATTTCGTTAGCAAGCAATAACTTGACTCATCTCAAACTAAGCACTTTTCAACCGATCATCTCATCTCTCTCATCTCTCGATCTTTCAATGAACCCAATTGTCTGTAACTGTGATCTTAAGTGGCTCCCCAGTTTCCTCCATCGACAATTAATGCTCACCAATGCAGATGAAACAATCTGTTCCGAATCATCTTTAGATCCCCTTCGCGCGAAACCTCTTCTTCAGTTTGATCCCGATGAACTCTGTAAGCGCAGTATTGTCCTCTTCTACTCGCTTCCCCTCGCTACCATTTGCTTGATTGTTATCATCGTACTCGTGCACCACTATCGCTGGAAAGTGAAGTATAAGATCTTTCTGCTGAAACTTGCGGCTCTTGGGTACAATGAGTTACGAGACGCCCGAGACCACAGTGACTTTGAGTTTGACTTGAATATCATCTTCTACGACGATGACGAAGAATGGATTCGGGAGCATCTTCGACCAGCTCTTAAAGCTCAGCTGCCGCAGTTTCAGAGGAACGTCTTTGGTGACGAAGACCTCGTTGTAGGAATGCATTACTTGGACTCCGTTGACTACGTTGTTAGCCATAGTTACAAGACCATCATTCTACTCAGCCGAGCCGCTGTGCATGATCGGTGGTTCATGCTTAAGCTTCGCACCGCGATGGACCATGTTAGTGATACCCAGACCGAATTTGTAGTCGTGGTCTTTCTCGAAGACATCCCTGACGAGGAGATACCTTTCTTAGCCAGGTTGTACCTCAGTGATGGTAGACCGTACCTCTACTGGACTGATGACGTAAGGGGACACGGGTATTTTTGGCATGGACTGACCAAATATCTGACCATAAATCTAAGAACGAATGATTGGATTCCAAACGAATAGAAAATGACATTAATAGATTAACGACTGATCAAAATGCATTGGTTCTCGTATAGCGCTCATGTCTATCAGACTTGACACTCCTGGCGCTCCACATTATTACCCCACTAGATGTGTCGTGATCTAAAGGATACGTCACCGGACTGTGGATCACATGGTTCGCGGTTCGAGTCCCCCCGCGACACTAATATCATTTAGTGAGACATCTATCTAAATGTATCACACTTAACCCATGTATAGTAAATGGGTACTTCGTAGGAATTACTTATACATTGAATATTTTGAGCGCCTCAGGGCAGCTGGGCTTTAGCCAACGTAATGATACTATTTGGTGGGCACCTTGAACATATTGAGCACTCCTGGGAATGATATGTGCACACAATAAATGTATATATTTGTATTATTATCATTATTTAGCTTAGATGTTTAGTTTTAATGATAGTCAAGCAAAATTCAGAGTCATATACTGGTGGACCAAAAGCTTGATTCAACTCAATGAAAATGTTCGTAAAAATGAAATTGGTCCGCCATACTATCATGACAGTTTTGTGTATTCTGTTTTTATTTGTTCATCCGTTATGTCGAATAGTTGACATGTATCATGTGTATGCCTCGATGACGTCAGACTGCAATCTTTAGTCCATCGCTGTAAGAAATACTGAACTGGTGAACAATTAATATTGTAAAGATAGAAGGTGACATCATACGGAGTACGCTGTGGAGGTCCTGGGAAATCCAGTTCCATTAGTTGTCCTGTATGATGTTTTTTCCTGAAACCTTTCAGTTCCATATATTTGCGATGTACAATATTATTGTTACCAGTTTATTTAACGTCTTTTTTTAAGAAGCCATCCTGTGCCAAGTTGGTACTTGTTTTTTGTAACTGTAAATAAAAAAAGTTAAAATTAAACAGTTGAAGTCTACATTTAGTAGACATTGAATAATACATAATTTGTGACAAAATAGATTTGTCTGGGTTTTATAATGTAAGTTGGAAATTAATCAGATGAGATAATTAGACACCGCTGGTTATTGCTAAGACTGGGGATTTTGAGATTATTATGATACATAAGGTTTATGAGAAAAGGTGTTAATTTCATGTATATAATAAGGCATGTTTATTATTACTTCCAGTGAGATGTTTGGTTTTCATGATGAAGGTGTTGAAGGAAGGGTGATTGTTCGGTTGAAATTGTTCTCATGAAGATTTGAGGAAAGAATGGAATTAAGGAATATATGCATGTAGGGTGTTTGTAATATGCTTAACAGGTTGTTAGCATTGTGTACCATATGCCATTGATTGTGTTATGTTATTAATTATTAGAATTACCAGTTGACTTTGGGATGTCATTGTGTTGTCCTTGTAGCGGTTACACCCTTCCATGTTTGGGAGCAGTTAAAATCGAGGGATGATGTTTATACCTGCCTTTGATTTGAAGGTCTAGGGATACCAGCTCCAAAGAAGAGGAAGGGCATAACGTCGTCCTGACATTATATTCTGTTGGCTGGGTTATATTTGCAAGGTGGGCAAGACATATGCATTTGCAAGTCTTCTTGGTCAATTGGTTGGAAGAAATATTAGTTAATTAGATTAATAAATGTTGTTGTTGTTGTTGTACAAAGAGAATGTTAATTGTAATTATTTTATTAGAGCTTCGGCTGAGTTTATAAAAAATAATAAAATGGACTTCAACTGTATATCTGAGCTCCTGTCGTTTTCATTTTGTTTCTGATCCCATAGTCACCGACCCATTATGGGCCCATTACAGTAATATAAATGTTTTCATTAGTGTTCTAATTAGTATGATAAGTTTATAATCTGCATGTTCGAAAAGGTTTCTAATCCTAATCAGTTCACATATGACATAATACATATGGATTTCTGAGGAATTATTTTATGTTTAGTTTTCTTGAAAAGATATGGCTCAAGTTATGTATATATACATGTATATTCTTTATCTGTACAACTACAGTGCTATAGACTTGTCTTCTATTGAACCATTGAACTGAAGTTCTTAAACAAAATCATGAACAGACTGCTTGTGTATATTAGGATGAAGAAAAGAAAACAGAGTTGGAATGTCTGTTTTGTTTTTCCCCCTTCATCAGATAGGGTTCTTTATTTTCAAAACAAATTCCATCATATACGGTAAATCCATAAGTTATATTCAATTAATCAAAGAAGTGATTTCTACACATAATGGCTAAACAAAGATATTAATCATCACGACCGAAAAATTTATGGCAAAAAAAAAAGAGCCAAAATTAGTATTTTAAATATTTACAAAAGGTGTCTTGAAATGTCTTGGTAAATTCAAAGTAAGGCCGTTTAGGTGTCGTATCTATTCATGCATCCCCACAATAAAAGAAAAATAATACGAGGATTTTTTTTTCTTCTTCAAAGTCAATTGGTTTACAATTATGCACATTAAAAATCCAATGTTGTTGTTGTTAGTTTCCATATTTTATTTTAATTCCCAATAGATGAAAGAGAAATCCCCGCAAATAACTACATAAGAAATATTCAGAGGATTTGTAATTTATACGAGTCGATTTCCGACGAGTCCTACAACCCCTGATCCAACAGGAAATGAGAAACATTTTTTTTTTTTTTTTTTTTTTTTTTTTTGGGGGGGGGGGGGTTCAATCCAGTCCGAGAACAAAGAAAAACAACATTCTTTATCACGTAGGACTTCTAGTCACTCTTCCGATGGTTGACTGGATCCTATGCCCACGAGACCGACAGACTGACAGATCATGAGATCAATATTTGTGTTTCCGGCCATCTTTCCCCATGTATTCCGACCTTTGGTGTGAGCCTTCCCAACAAAAATTGTTATCTTAACATGTATGTTACTACTTACATGTATTTTGATTACATTCGGTTAATCGAATCGTGTGATTCCTCATTCATTGATTCAGCGAGTAATTGGCCATGCAAGAAAAACAAACCACACCTGTTCACGTATTGTATTGTATTTATTAAACTTAATTGATGTACATCAATTATCTGTTTATAAACATATAAATCATATAAATCAATTTATAAGTTCAAGTTCAAGTTCGTTTATTTATTTCATTTCCATAAAAAACACAGCAAATGCAAATAAACATACAAGTATAAATACATACAAGGAATGGTCAGTTATTACAATAGTTTAAAATGAAATTGGAGAACATAGGAAAGGCCCATGGTGGCTTTGTATAAAAAGTTCCCCGAATATTATAATTTATATTATTTATATTATTGAGCATATATGAGTTCGAGATATCACAAAATACAGCGATAAACACAAAATACAGCGATAAACACAAAATACAGCAATAAACACAATATAAAGACAAAAAACTACAAACATATGTATGAAATAATCTAAAATTGGAGGCGGGGGGGGGCAAAAAGGTTTGGAAGGTAAATTTAACGGTACTCAGAATAAAAGGTCTGTTTCATTTTTGTTTTAAATATTGAACTGTTTTTATAAAAGCGGAGGACTTGAGGAAGAGTGTTCCATATGTTTGGCAAAGTATTTCTTACTGATTTTTTTAGAAAATGAACTTTTTACTTTCCATAAATGAAACGTGTTACAAAGCCGAGTATTGTGAGTATGAATTTGGTTATTGATCGAAAATATGGAGGATATTCTTTTTGGAAGTATATTTTGAAAAAAATAAAAACCAATTAGTGCAGTATGGTATTTGAACAAATCAAAAACATTTAGGGTTTTTAAACGAAGAAATAACGGAGCAGAGTGGGCATAATAATCACTACCTGTACAAATACGTAGAGCCTTCTTTTGTAATTTGAAGAGGGTATTAATTTTTCCATGACACGAATTTCCCCAAATACTTATACAATATGTAAGATAAGGTAATATAAGTGAGTTGTACAAAGTGAATAAAATGGGAAATGGTACATGAAATTTTAATTTATATAAAACACCAATAGATTTTGATACCTTGCTTATAACATTATCGATGTGGGAATCCCAACGAAGGTTGTTATCTACGGATACTCCAAGGAAATTTACAACATTTAATTTTGATATAGATGTAGTATCAATACTTAAAGTTACCTTATCTAGTACATTGGACACATTTTTACTCTTATTGTGAAATATACAAAAGTTTGTTTTAGAAAGATTTACTATCAATTTATTAGCTTTGAACCAAGTTGAAACCTTGTCTAATTCTTTGTTGACCTCGTGCTCTACATTATTTAAATCAGGTTGTGAAAAAAATAAGAGTTGTGTCATCTGCATACATAATATACTGCATGATATGAGAAGATTGAATTAAGTCATTAATATATATCAAAAAAAGCAAAGGGCCAAGTATAGATCCCTGAGGAACTCCGTGTGTTATGTCTGCAAAATCAGAAGCATTATTATTATACATAGTAAATTGACGTCGATTGCATAAATAACTTTTAAAAAAATTAAGAGGGTTTCCACGTACACCATAAAAGTTCAATTTGGACAAGAGAATTGAATGATCAACTATATCAAATGCTTTTGATAAATCCATAAATATTCCAATACAAAAATTATTTTTTTCCATTGCTAAAGTCACTTTATCCTGCAAATCAATTAAAGCATGGGTTGTGGAATGATTACGTCGAAATCCAAATTGACAATCAGTAAGTATATTATGTTTAGAAAGAAAACTATACAATCGATTATAAACACATTTTTCTAGTAATTTAGATATACAAGGTAACAAAGATATTGGTCGATAATTTTTTAATGAATGACGGTCGTCTTTTTAAAAACGGGAATAATCTTAGCAATTTTAAGTTTGCTTGGAAACGTACCAGTTGACAGTGATATATTAAAAATGTAGACCAATGGTTTTACAATAGCATGAATGATTTGTTTGAGTACATTGCAACCTATGTTATCATATCCACAAGATTTTGTATTTCTTAATGATTTACACACTTCAATCAATTCATTTTGTGATATAGGTTTAAAAAATATTGAAGAAGAAGTTGGGACATGTAGGTA